AGGAGACATGTACACTAATCATCAGGGCACTGATGATCAGTGCCCTGAAGATCAGTGTAGCCCCATCAGTGCCACCTGTCAGTGTTCATCAATGCCACCTGTCAGTGTCCATCAATGTCACCTGCCAGTGCCCACCAGTGCCACATCAATGACACCTATCAGTGCCTACCAGTGCACATCAATGACGCCTATCAGTCACAACTATCAGTGCACATCAATGCCACATATCAGTGCCAGTCAGTGCTGCCTATCAGTGATGCCAGTCAGTGGCCGTCAGTGCCACCTATCAGTGCCCATCAGTGCCGCCTAACAGTTCCAGTCAGTGCCGCCTAACAGTGCCAGTCAGTGCCACCTATCAGTGCTGCCTATCAGTGCCGCCTATCAGTGCCATATGTGAGTGCTGCCTTTCAATGCCCATCAGTGATCCCCGTCAATGCCCATCAGTGCCACCAACAGTGCCTCCTCATCAATGCCCATCAGTGCCGCCTATCAGTGCCCATCAGTGCAGTCTCATTAGCGCACATCAATGAAGGAGAAAAATTACTTATTTACTAAATTTTATAACAGAAACTAAGAAAAAAAATTTTTTTTTTCAAAATTTTCAGTTGTTTTTGGTTTGTTTAGCAAAAAAATAAAAAACCCAGAGGTGAATAAATACCACCACAATAAAGCTCTATCTGTCTCAAAAAAAAAAAAAATTTTTCATATTGGTACAGTGTTGCTTGACCATGCAATTGTCAAAGTGCGACAGCGCTGAAAGCTGAAAAATGGCCTGGGCAGGAAGGGGGTGAAATTGCCCGCTAGGCAAGTGTCCCCAGATGAGGAGCTAGTTGGGTTTGCCACCTGACTGCCCTCTCCCCTTATCTGGCCCAGGAGGTCCAGGATTACTCACTCAGTCCTCTCCTGTAAGCTTGTAGGTTGGTAGCTGCCTTTAGGCCTTACGCTGGGCTGGCTCCTTCCCTGCTTCCCAGGCTGTCCTCTCTCAGGGAACGGTTGAGGCTGAGAGATCCTCCTTCCCAGCTCCTGCACACTCCAGCCTCTCACTCCATCTTTCAACGACACTGACCACTTGCTGGTCAGGATCTCCCATACTTAAAGTGTTACTAAACCCACAACAGTAAAGTCAGTTTGTATATGCATTAAAGCATGTTTATTATACTCACTGTGGAATCTAAGGGTTAATCTTCTGCATTGTGTAAAAACACTGTTTGTTCCTGTCTTCTCTGATCCTCCCCTTCTTCCAGTGCCCCCCTCTTATCTCCTGATAAGACATGTGTGGAGACACTCTGCACATGCTCAGTTTGGTGTGTATTGCTAGAGATGTTTTCTTTTTCTTGGGAGAGTGCATGTGATCAGCATAGGGCAAATCAGCACTGTCCAGATTGAGGTCAGGGGTCTTGCAATCCTCCTAGAGTAGAATGAAATTTCCTCCCACAAGCTGTAAACAGTGATCGGCTGGACACTGATAGAAGTCACAAGACTGCTCTAACTGCTGAGAAAAGGTATTTAGCAGTTTATATTTACTACAGTAATTGCATTTCCATGTTCTGTGTACTGTGAGAGACAGGATATAGTGAATGTAGGGTCCTGGGTTTAGTAACATTTTAAGGGCTGCCCTAACCCCATGTCAAGCATCCTGCTTGGGGATTGGTCAGAGTCCCCTGAGTATGCAGAGCAGCCCCTCCTTCGCCCCACCCACTGCCTTCTAGAAATGTCTCAAGCTTCTAGAGCATAGGGAGGTATCAGGGAATTGACCTGCAGAGCCCTCAGCCTTGACCTGCAGTTACCTGGCTGCCTATCTCCAGGATGACTCATAAAAGGCTGGTATCCAACCTCGAACAAAAAAAAAACTAGCTATCGTCCCCTGGCTAGCTAGAGGGGTGCTATATATACATATATATATTACAGTATGTGTATATATATATATATATATATATATATATATATACAGTTGCAAGAAAAAGTATGTGAACCCCTTGGGATTACGTGGAGTTTTGCATGAATTGGGCATAAAATGTGCTCTGAACGTCATCTAAGTCACAACAATAGAAGAACACAGTCTGCTGAACATAATACTACACAAACATTAGATGTTGCCATGGTTTATTTGCACATAACATGTAAACATTCACAATGCAGGGAGGAAAAAGTATGTGAACCTTTGGACTCAATAACTGGTTGACCCTCCTTTGGCAGCAATAACTTCAACCAAACGTTTCCTGTAGTTGCAGATCAGACCTGCACAACGATCTGGAGTAATTTTGGACGACTCCTCTTCACAAAACTGTTTCAGTGTAGCAATATTCTTGGGATGTCTGGTGTGAATCGCTCTCTTAAGTTCATGCCACAGCATTTCAATCGGGTTGAGGTCAGGACTCTGACTGGGCCACTCCAGAAGGCGTATTCTGTGCTGTTGCAGCCATTGTTTTGTTGAATTACTTGTATGCTTTGGGTCAGTCATTGTCCTGTTGCATCACCCATCCTCTGCGGAGCTTCAGTTGGCGGACAGATGGTCGTACGTTTTCCTGCAAAATGTCTTGATAAACTCTGGAATTCATTTTCCCATCAATGACAACAATCCGTCCAGGCCCTGAGGCAGCAAAGCAGCCCCAAACCATGATGCTCCCTCCGCCATGTTTTACAGTGGGGATGAGGTTTTGATGTTGGTGTGCTGTGCCTTTTTTTCTCCACACATAGTGTTGTGTGTTCTTCCTAAACAACTCAATCTTGGTTTCATCTGTCCACAGTATATTTTGCCAGTAGTGCTGTGGAACATCCAGGTGCTCTTTTGCAAACTTCAAACATGCTGCAATATTCTTTTTGGACGGCAATGGCTTCCTCCGTGGTGTCCTCCCATGTACTCCATTCTTGTTTAATGTTTTCCTTATTGCAGATGTGTCAACAAAAATGTTAGCATGTGCCAGAGATTTAGCTGACACTCTGGGATTCTTCTTTACCTCATGCAGAATTCTGCGCTGTGCTCTTGCAGTCATTTTTACAGGACGACCACGCCTAGGGAGAGGAGCAACAGTGCTAAACTTTCTCCATTTGTAGACAGTCTGTCTTACCGTGGACACATGAACATCAAGGCTTTTGGAGATACTTTTGTAACCCTTTCCAGCTTCATGCAAGTCAACAATTCTTGATCGCAGGTCTTCTGAGAGTTCTTTTCTGCGAGGCATGGTTCACATCAGACAGTGCTTCTTGAAACCAGTAAACCCAAAACAGGTGTGTGTTTTTTTAAGGGCAGGACAGCTGTCAGCAACACATCCAATATCATCACACTGATTGGAGTCAAGGTTGGCTCACTCCTGGCTCCATTTAGCTCTGGGAGAAGTCATTAAGCTAGGGCCTCACATACTTTTTCCTCCCTGCACTGTGAATGTTTATATGTTATGTGCAATTAAACCATGGCAACATCTAATGTTTGTGTAGTATTATGTTCAGCAGACTGTGTTCTTCTATTGTTGTGACTTAGATGACGTTCAGAGCACATTTTATGCCCAATTCATGCAAAACTCCACGTAATCCCAAGGGGTTCACATACTTTTTCTTGCAACTGTATATATAAAAAACAAACGTAAATAGGTAGGTGCTAAAAACAACCGTGCAACAAAATTTATGGATAAATCAACTCTCTACATCTTCTAGCAGATACTAATACCAAATCAAATGTGATAAATATTCTCCCAATTTCATCTGACCAATATTAAACAAAAAACAATTATATACGTGATATACAGTGATTATATTGTATATAGTGACAGTCCCTCAGAGATACGTTGCTGTAGACCAAAATATGTGTGCTTTCACCACGTGCAGATGGAATAAGTGAATTCCTCACTCACCAGAAATATTTGACCCTCATTTAAGGTGGTCAAAAACGCATTGTTATAATGTGAATAGAAGATCAGCAGCAGGCTCTCCTGGGATATCCTTCCTGGTCACGAGTATATCTTAGGTATCGCCCCCAGTTGGATATTCAAACATTCCAGATATAGTAGTAGTATCTGGGCCCTTAGCACCAGGTTCTCCTTACCAAGAAAGTGATGCTCCAAGCAACTCAAATAAATAAGATGAGTTATGCGTTCTAAGTGTAGTATTTATAAAAATTTGCATAGTAAATATACATATGGCTTTACACTCACATGTGGAGGTGCCAGAAACTGGCACCAGTTTGTATAGGCTGTGTATTCCAAAAAAAATGGCCGGCGTGCACTCCAAGCCTTGCTTTCACTGGGCCGGATGTGGCGTGATGGGATCATGCTTCTACATACGTTTCGCCTGGGAGCGTCTTCAGGAAGTGACGTACTGCCATTACGGGTGTTAAATAGAGGCAAACCCAAGCTGATTGGACGGCTCCAGAAGCATGGCAAAACAACCTTATTGGACGGCTCCAAAAACATGGACGACAAAACATTAATGTTAGTGTGTAAATACATCAGGCTATACACACTGCCGCGGTGTACAATAGTAGTGCGTGCGGACCTTTAAGTCATAACATGGGTGTAAGCAAAATCAATAAACAGACAACTTTAACATACTAAATAAATAAAATCAAGTGGTTTATCTTTTTTTAATAAAATACATGTATTACAAAACCATAATTAAAACTTTACCTAAAATGTGTAAAATATTTAAGGAACGTCAGTGGATCATAATTCCCTCATAAAAAATGTAGAAGATGGATATGAAAATTATGAAGAATATAAATATGAAAGATATGTAAAAATAATTAGGTAAAAAATGAGAAAGGGGGTCAAGAACTAAAAAAGTATTTAGAAAATTGATGAATCATAAGGAAATTAGCTGTTAAATTAAATGAATTTAAATATATTAATAATGGGTATAAAATTAAAAATATATGTATGAATGTTAAAAATACCCTGGTGTGTTTAAATTAAGTACCATAAGGATACATAACCGGATCACACAACATAAACTAAAAATTGCTATAGGATTAGAATGATGTTTTTGGATTGTGTAGGTATGCTAGACACAGGGACGGACTGACAACTCATGGGCCCCCCGGGCAATAGGGGATCATGGGGCCCCTGTGTCCTTGCCCAAACTCAAAAAAGCCTATGAAAAAGGTACCAGGGGCATCTCATGGGGCCCCCTACTGACCCCGGGCCCTCGGGCAGTGCCCGAGTTTCCAAATGGTCAGTCTGCCCCTGGCTAGACCTACTACTCAAGTACATATAAATGTATTGGTCACTACAACAAATAGAGGCTATGAATACATATTTGTAGGATCTAGTGTCAAGGACTGTAACAAAAATGAGAGACTATATCCTACAGAGGGTCCGGCGAGAAGAAGGGACGTGCGTCGCGAGCTCCTGCTCCCCTGGCCCCAATTCCGCTGCCATCTGGCAGCAGCGACCCTAACGGGGGCCCCAACGACATATCCTTCGGTCCCCACCATCAGCCAGGTAAGGCCACTGCACCTTTTCCCCCGGACCTCCGGCCACAGAAATCGATTTTTTTGGCGCGGCCCGACCCGGATCGCCGGGCATCAGCCCAGGCCGCCGCTGCTTGTTACTCCTGTTCCACCGCCACAAACCACCCGCCGATCAACCACCCTATCCCTCAGGGCCCCCCCCAACTGGCCCTGGGTCCATCCCAACCACCGTGGTGGTACCAAGCTCGCCCGGAGCAGCCACGTGCTCGTCAGCTCGGCGCCCCAAAAAACGCCCGATCCGCTGCCATCCGGGCCCCTGAGCCTGCTGCCGATTCCCCCCACCAACACCCTGAAGGGGACTCAGACAATATACTCCGTCCCTCCAGCGGAGCTCCGGCGGTCCAAGCGGCTTGAGGCCTACCACGGCAACCCAAAGCCGCGGTGTTTCCCTGCCGCCGTGGCTGAATCGCAGCGGGACCCGCCTCTACGCTCCTCCGGGGAAGCTACCACCACCAGCACCAAACGGTCCTCCTAACATAGGAGGGATCAAAACACCTCCACACCGAAAAAACTCCACCAGGAACATCAGGTACTCCACCAGGGCACCCACTACCCATCAGGGAGCCCAACCACCACAACCCAAAAAGCCATCCACCAGGGATCCCACCACCCCCCAGAAACCCTAACCACCAGGGACCCCTAACCACTATCCCTCCAGGATTCGCTACTAACCCACCAGGGATAGCACCGGCCACCACTCCCACCACCAGGGATCCCCCTGCCCCCCACCCCACCGGGGACTACCAGCCACCTCCCACTGCATTTCGGACACTGCTTCGCCATCCCTAGACCAGCCACCCCCTCACCCACCCTGACCCTTCCTGCAAAAGAAACCCGCTCACTCCCAACAGCGCCGCCCGCCCACCTTCTCCTCCCCCCTTGTCCCTCCTCTCCTCCATCCCTAAAAAACCGCCTTCCTCTACCACCCACCCCCAGACTAAGCAGCTCTATATCGCCCCCTCACTTCTCCCTCTCCCCCCACTAACGGCACCCACCACCTCCCTCCTCCTGGCTACTCCACTTCCCCGCTGACCCACTTGCCACCACTTTCAGACCCAAGCGCTCCTACACCTCACCCGTTCCCACGTCCAAAAAACTTCCTCACCCTCCTTACCTTCTCATATCAGCTGGGACATCTCCCCAAAAACCCTGGCCCCTCAAAATTTCCAACCTCACACCCCCACTAGAGCCCCCCTGCTCACGCCAGCCGACGCGAAAAAAAGACACATAATCAATGCCCCACTCAACCTCATACCATGTTACCCCTCCTCCCCATATCTAAATCAGCCCCCTCTCTCGGTTGCACTCCTGAATCAGCTCGTTCGGTTTGCAATAAGCTTTCCGCCATCCATGACCTCTTCATCTCTACGCTCCCTCAACCTCCAAGCAATCACCGAAACTTGGGTTACAGGCCCACCGACCTCCACTCCCCTGCGGCACTCACTCTATGGATGTCTCATCTGGACCCATTCACCAAGACTGAGCGACTCGCAGAGGTGGTGGTGTCGGCTTGCGTCCTGTCACGCTTAGCACCTTCCAGGTCCCTCCCTAACCCACCCTTCTCTTTCCTTCCCCTCCTTTGAGGCGCACTGCATCCGACCTCTTCTCACCCAACCCCCTAAGTGATCCAAAACAGTGATCTAACAAGGCCTCCCGGGACCCATAGCCCGATTCCTGGATGACTTCGCCGCCTGGCTTCCCCTCCTCTGAGCTCCCCCCACCATCATCCTCGGGGACTTTCAACATCCCCCATCAAACGACAAAACACCCCGAAGCTACTTCCAACTTTCCTCCACCTAACCCTCCTCTTTCGCGCTCACACAGCACACACTCAACTCCTCCACCCACCCAAACCTCCGGAGGGAACACCCTGGACCTCGTCTTTTCCCACCAACTGTAACCCCTCAACCCCCAAACAGTTCGCGAACACCCCCTTCCCCTCTCTTCCGACCACCACCCTCATCACCTTCTCCCCATCCCCCCTTCCCCCCAAACTCCCCCCCTCAAAAACGCCAAACCATCTAATTCCAACACACCCAGCCGCAACCTCCGCAACACCTGAACCCGGTCCCCCCTCCAACTTCCTGTCGCCGAATGCCTTACACGGGACAGCATCCTTCTCACTGTCATGTCCTGACCATAGCATCACCACCTTTAAAAACGCAATGACTCCACTGTCGAGCTGCCCTAGACCTCTCTGGCACCCCGTACCACACGCATCATCAAACCAACAACCGCTTCAACCCCTGGCTAGAAAACCGACAGCAAAACTAAACGCCTCAACGTCCGCAGTCGCGCACTGGAGAGACTGTGGCGCAAAACCAGGTCCCCTCCATACTTTTCTCCATCTACAAATCGCATTTCTTTATCTACAACTCCCTCCCTCCACGCCGCCAAGCAGGCTAACTAAAAAAACTTTTGTTAACCTAATAAACACCTCTCTCCTCCTGCCCCCGACCCGACCCTATTCTCCACCTTCAAATCCCATGAACTCCTCCCCTACCCCCCCTCCTCCACTCAGTAACAGCTCTCTCACCGCCCACGAAATTGCCACCCATTTCCACAACAAGATTGACGCGCTATCCGTATGACAATCGTCAACTTGCAATCTCTACCTCCCCACCTAGCCTCCTCGCCCCCCGTCACCATCCTTCATCTCCACCTTCCCATCCTGCCCCTCACAACAGCACTGCCCCACTCCTCATTCCAATGCCCCGCCCCACCATAACCCCCCCGCACTGCACTCCTCAGCCACTGTCACTACTGAGGAAGTCGCCAAAGTCCTCTCAAAAAAAAAGCCCGCATCACTACCTGCCCCCTGGACCCTATCCCCTCATCAACTCCTCCTCCGGTCCACACCCTCCCCACTTTCCCACCATCCGCTCCCCCCTCACCCCCACATTCTTCAATCTCTCCCTCTCTACTGGCGTATTCCCCTCCCACCCTAAAGCACAGCGAATATCACCCCCATCCTCAAAAAAGCCCTCCCCTGGATCCCGCGGACCCCAACAACCCAAAAGCATAACATCACCCCAGACTATCCCTGCATGATCCACTCACCTCCAAAGCTCAGCTTCGAACGCCAAGTCTACGATCGCCTAAGCTCCCAACCTACGTAAAATCTACAAATAACCTCCCAAATGAACCCTCTACAGTCCAGCTTCCGCCCCAAACAAACATCCACTGAACCGCCCCTACCTCAAAATCACTAACCGAACCTACTCATTCGCCAAAGCCAAGGGCGAACTACTCTGTCCTCCTTCTCCTGGACCTCTCCTGCGGCACCGAACACAGTTGACCACCCACCCTCCCCAACTTAATAAAACTACTCTCCATTGGCATCGGAGATGCTGCACAACCTCTTCTTGGTTCTCACCTACCTATCCCGACGCTCCTTCATACGTCACCTTACAATGGTTAGCCACCTCCACCCTCCCTCCCCTCTCTGTTGGGGTCCCCCAAGGCTCTGTCCTTGGACCCCTTCTCTTCTCCATCTACAAACCTTCCTCCCTGGGCAAAACTCCATACAATCTCACGGCTTCAACTATCAGCCTCTATGCTGACGAACCCTAAATCTACCGCTCCACCACCCCTCACCCACCCCCACTAGACTCCGCCCGCCTCCCCCTCACCCCTAAATGGACATCTCAGACTGGATGTCGCCTACATTTCCTCAAGATTAAACCTCTCCAAAACCGACTTCTCGTCTTTCATCCCCCTGCCCACACCCCCCCCAATTATCCAATCATCACCAACAACTCCAAGCTATCTACACTTCCCGCCCCGCAAGCCAAAGTCCTTGGCGTCATGCTTGACCGGGAACCCCTCCCTCCCAACCGCATGTCAAATCACTCACAAACACATGCAGGCTCCATCTTCGCAACATTGCCAAGATCCGCTCCTTCCTCACCCCAGACACCACCAAACTTCTATTACACACTCCCTCATCATCTCACGCCTTGACTACTGCAACTCCCTCCTCACTGGCCTACCCAAGTGCAGGCTCTCCCCGCTTCACTCCAGACCATCCTGAACTCAGCTGCCAGACTCATCCACCTTACCACCCGCTCCACCTCTGCACACCCCCCTCTGCCTCTCCTCCACTGGCTCCCGATTGCCCAACGCATCAAAGTTTAAACTCCCTTACCCTGACCTACAAAGCCGTTCACAACACTGCCCCTGACTACCCCACACCAATCTGATCACCAGGTACCACCCGATACCCGTACCCTTTCGCTCCTCACAGGACCTCCTTCTATCCCGCTCTGCTCCCTGGTCTCCTCCTCCCATGCACGACTCTGCAGGAACTTCTCCAGGTCCTCCCCCATCCTCTGGAACTCACTGCCCCAATCCATCAGACTGTCGCCTTCTCTATTCACATTCAGGCGCTCCCTCAAAACCCATCTCTTCAGGGAAGCCTACCCCCACCTCACCTAACGGCCATCCTCCCTCATTCTCCTACCACTTCATCCCCCCCAGCCACTTCCTACTGTACCTTTACCCCCTCCCTCCTAGATTGTAAGCTCGTAAGAGTAGGGCCCTCTTACCCCTCGTACGCTGTCTGTCTTTGTTGTACTGTGCCATGTATTGTCCCCCCCCCTATTGTACAGCGCTGAGCAAACCCT